ACGCTTCACATCATTTTAAGTCATACAAGATCTTGAAAGATCTTACAAGTTGTGTGATGTCACAGGAAGTAGTTGACAACCCACGATAGCCTTTACAAAAGTATGAGCATATAAAGAAAGCAAACTTTCAACAAAATTAAACTTAATTAAGCTATAATGACATCATTCTTATGCATTTAAGCAATGTAAGTTCTTGCTCAGATCTTACAATTGCAGTCATTTTAATACTATGGGATATGCTTGGTATCCCAAATCTGAACTTAACTATTTCTTCAAGATCTTGACAAGATCTTACAATATCCTTCATGATATTAGTTCATAACAAGTAAGAGTCTTAAAAGATCATACAAGATTTAATTCCAGATCTTGACTGATAATGTAAGATTTAATTCCAAATTTTTACTGAAAATGTAAGATTTCATTCCTGATCTTGCCTGATCATGTAAGATTTAGTTCCCGATCTTGACTGATCATGTAAGATTTCATTCCTAATTTTGCCTGATCATGTAAGATTTCATTCCTGACCTTGCCTGATCATGTAAGATTTAGTTCCTGATCTTGACTGATCATGTAAGATTTTGTTCCTGATCTTGCCTGATCATGTAAGATTTAGTGCCTGATCTTGACTGATAATGTAAGATTAATCGTCAGACCATGCCTGATCATGTAAGACTTATCATAAGATCTTGGCAAGATTTATCATAAGATCTTGGCAAGATTTTGGAACTTCTTGTCTAATGATCTTGCAAGAACAGGCATGATTAAACATGCAAGATCATTTGTAAGGTTTCATAAGATCTTAAGTAAGATCTTACGTAAGATTTTTTTGCTGGGTGTGGGTCCAATGGTGTCCTTAATAAAGAGGCTACACTGTACATGTATTAAGGACAGGTGGTGTGGGCCCAATGGTGTCCTTAATAAAGAGGCTACACTGTACATGTATTAAGGACAGGTAGTGTGGGCCCAATGGTGTCCTTAATAAAGAGGCTACACTGTACATGTATTAAGGACAGGTAGTGTGGGCCCAATGGTGTCCTTAATAAAGAGGCTACACTGTACATGTATTAAGGACAGGTAGTGTGGGTCCAATGGTGTCCTTAATAAAGAGGCTACACTGTACATGTATTAAGGACAGGTAGTGTGGGCCCAATGGTGTCCTTAATAAAGAGGCTACACTGTACATGTATTAAGGACAGGTAGTGTGGGCCCAATGGTGTCCTTAATAAAGAGGCTACACTGTACATGTATTAAGGACAGGTAGTGTGGGCCCAATGGTGTCCTTAATAAAGAGGCTACACTGTACATGTATTAAGGACAGGTAGTGTGGGTCCAATGGTGTCCTTAATAAAGAGGTTACACTGTACATGTATTAAGGACAGGTAGTGTGGGCCCAATGGTGTCCTTAATAAAGAGGCTACACTGTACATGTATTAATTATTATTTGTTTGTAGCCAATAGAGTAAGAATTAATGAGTGAGTAATTGACCCTCAGGTCAAGAGGGTTAATTACCAATTAGTTAATGTCATGCGTCCAATACTATAGATATGTTAATAGCAATACTTGTGTGTATAGACTATATAGATACACTAATTGATTTGTGAGTATACACATTCATTAGTACAGGGCTTTGAGAGTGGGTCAATCCAAGGACTTAACGTCATGCTCTAAATATTTTTATAAAATTCATTTATCCATGGAGAACAAGGAACTTACCAGAGAAAAAGAGAGAGAGGGAAGAGCCGGAAGAAAAAAAAGCAATGAAAATGAGAGAGAGAGAGCGAGATGGAAAGGGAGAGAGAGAGAGGTGAAAGAAAAGGTAAAGAAAAAGGATAGAGGGGAATTGAGAGACAAAAAAGAGCAATAATACTTCTATACAGGTGCTACATGTATCAATACTGCAATGATCCCATTGCTGGAGCAGTAGCTACAAGTTACAGTAACTTCTAATGACATAAGCTCATTCATAATGTACATGTAATGGGTCCGTGTGTACATATAACCTAATTACAGTAATTATTATGATGTGTGTTGGTGTGTGTGTGTGTGTGTTGCACGTACCACAACTTATTTGTGGTATTTCCTCTATTGATGCTGTCTTTGATAGCAGTGTACTACTACAGTGCCTTTATCAGGATATCCTCATATTCATATTACATACTAAAGGCCCCATTCACACACATGTACATGTATTCCTAAGATCCCTCTACATATATTTGTACACATACTTGCTTTCCTTCACTTTTAATGAAATTTGAGTTGGGGACTTGTGTAAACATCTTTTATTACCCTCCGCTAAATTTAATATTGATCCGACTACGTAAAGCCACAGTTTGGCGTAAGCCTAATGGGAGGCCTTATAATCAGTTTATGGTATGAGGAAAGAAAAATGAGGAGAAACCTTCAATGGGACGGAGGAAACTTAAGACGTGGGAAGGGGAGTACGTGACAAACCAAACACGGAAAGACAATAGATTGGGTTACTACGAGAGGACGAGTGAGGGAGGAAAGAGGAAAGAGCGAGAGAAAGAGAGAGCAGCTGTTGTATTGAACAGCAAGTTTATAAATAACAACAACAAAGAAATGATAGGACACTCATACATTATCATGGAGATTTCAGAACCAAAACATTCACACAGATATAACTGAATTATTACACTTAGTGGTACCAACACTGAACAGTTTGACACCAAACAGTCTAAGCTCAGCACTGGATCCGTGTAAGTATCAGATAACAATCAGTCACTGACATTTCAACCATTCTCAAGAGAGGGAGGGTATTTCTGCTAGAATCCCCTCCTGGTTTAATAGGATAGAGTATTTTCTTCTCTCTCTCCCTCCCTCCCTCCCTCCCCCTCTCTCCCATTATTATATGTTTCTCTTGATCTGGCCTGCCTCTCTTTCTCTGTGTATATTTCATTCGCAACATAAATAAGCTTTTTTGCCATAGCTATGATTTCCTTCTCTTTTTGTATCAATTTCAAATCTTCCCAAGTGTATTTTTAATCAATGTTTGGTTATTTACTCTATTCTCACTCTCATCTTCCAATACCTTACAGTACAGGCCTTGTATGTAGTCTATACCTAATAGACACAATACAGTACAATACAGTGAGCCCATAGGAAAGTATTGTTTAGAAAAAGTGCTTACTACTGATAGAGCTGTTAATGAGTTTGTGGCTGTACTAATGGAAATCCTATTCAGTTGAGTGTAGTGATAGAGCTTCATGATAATCATGCACACTCATAAATGTGATGTATAGGTAAGTAAAAGCATATGATCTAATCCGGTGAACTTGCAATTCATTATGCAAATGACCTTTATACGAACATACCTGTATAGTTCAGTTTACATAGTTTATCAATGCGATATATAGAGATTCATTTGTGTCAGTTTCCTTCCTTGAAGAGTTGCGTAGTATTATTGGTTATTTGGGTGCATGACTTAAGTGTCTTTTTAATTTGATGTAGCGACAGTTTTGAATTCAATGTGTGCATTATTAGCTAGTGGTGTTCCTGTTTCCCTGTTTTATTTGGAGAGATAGACCTTTTCACTTTTAAAAACACACACAAGTACGAGTACATAATGTACGTGTATATGCACATACCCACTTCATAACTTAATGTGCAAACACAATCAAACACACTTTCATGTATTTGTGTGTCCATGTTTTATGCATGTACATGTACATACATCCAATTTAATGTGTGGGGGGAATGTGTGTACATCATTATTATTATTAATTGGTTTATGTCACCCACTCGTTGCTCCACACAGCCCAAGGTATTTGTATCATGTGGAATTCTCTTTCCTTCTTTCTCAGAAAAATTTCTAATCATATTTGCCACTTTAAGTGTTCTTTTTAATGTACTTTGAAATGGACCCAATGGTTGAATTCTCCAGGAAGAAGGAAGCCTGATAAACATCAGGACAATATTTGTGTTCTTTGATGGTCCTTGTTCTGTGGGATGGAGGTTTATGGATCTCTGCCAGTTACAAGAGACTGCTTAAACAGTGACCCTTTGTGTCAGATTCCACGTACATTACCGTAGCAACCGTACCATCTATATTGGGACGATAGTTTTATAATGACATTTTGTATGCTTCATTATCATCATCATCATTATTATTATTATACTTATTATTAATTGTGAATAATTACTGTTATTATTTATTATTTATTTTAGATCCAGTTCTCCCTGGCTATCATACACTGTATGCACTCTATATACATTGATTGCAACTTTCCCAAATGGATGCACTACACTCTATTGGCTTATGCTACTTCTTTCATAATCCTGTTTACCAATTTCTATATCCACGCCTATATCAAGGGGAAAAGGAGAGGAGGAGGAGGAGGGAAGAAAGAGCAGGTTGTTTCTCAGCTGGCAAACGGCTCTGTTAGAGTGGAAGATAAGAAAAAACGCTAGTTATTATTATTAATATTATTATTATTATTATTATTATTATTATTATTATTATTATTATTATTATTATTATTATTATTATTATTATTATTATTATTATTATTATTATTATTATTATTATTATTATTATTGTTATTATTATTATTATTATTATTATTATTATTATTAGGTTTATATTTTCATTGGGGATTACAGTCTATTGGATTAGACAGTATAGTTAATATTAAGCATATATTTTTATATTTATTATCGTTATTATTATTTTTATATGCATTCAAAAATGGATTGGCACTTTGGCAAAGTTTGATTGTTTTCAAATATCGTCTCCTTTTGGGGTTAATCAAATTTACCAAGAATTAATAGACACTCGAGCTATGCAGTCTGGCGATCAATTAGGCCACATAGCAATGCAATCATGAAGACTAGCAATCATGAAGAGAGAGACTGCTAGTGTATAATGTATACATACACACAGTACAAGAATTTAAGAGAAAGAGAGGGAATGAGAGATTGTGACAGCTGCATAATGTATTGCAAAGATTCATGATGTCAAAATAAAGAGGAACATAACTATTACGTGCACTGTTTAATGTGTTATGTAAAGATTATGCCTGAGGTCAAAGGTAGGGCAGTGGTGCTGAGCTCAAGTATACTATTATTATTCATAACAAGTGACCATTGAATGGCTGCATATGTTGCACCAACAGGTGTAGGTATCATTACAACTATTGGAGGCCATTCTTATCTCAACTTTGATGATATGATCCTGATACTTGATAGCATCCAATAAAGACCTACTACATGAGCCTGGGTATTTACACTCTCACAAAGGTGGTGTCCAGTATCAGTCAACAATGGGGATTTATTGAGGCAGTTTTTCAATGGGGATTTATTGAGGTAGTTTTTCAACACAAGGAAACGTAATGCAAGCCTATAATAGCGTGATAGGTTGATTTACAAATCAATTGAGAACAGTCAAGGTAGTTGATAATGAATGACAAACATATCATGGTCATGGACAATCCATTATCATGATCAGTTGTCTTGATTAACATGCAGCTATAGACCATTACTGTTTACTGCAGACTGACATTACCGGTTGTGTGTACTTGTTTGTTTAATTGAGTGTAACATTGAAATATTAGTAAAGGCGTGTGCAGTACAGCTAGATTGTTATTGAATTTCTAGAGTCCATCATGTCCAAACACGTAATTATAATAAACATGTTGGTTATGTCATGCATTTTGAGGTGTTTTGGTTTGCGTGGCTGCATGTTGCCAGGATACATCCGTCGGTATGTCTTCTCCTGAAATAGAGGGTGCATCCGGTAAGCGTGGTGTAAAGGGAAGGCAACATCTTTCCGAGAAGGGCCATGAATCTCATTATGCTGTTCCGCGAACTACAGAAGGACCAAATAAGGAAGACTAATGAGATTCATGGGGTGTCATATTCCCTGAGCCATATAAACAGATGTGTTCTTGGAAATTCGCCAATTCCAGCTTAGACTAGACTTAGCGTGAACTACTCTGTCGACGCCCGCTGCATCATTTCTCGGAGTTACTCCACAAAGATACGAAAGTGCCATCACTTGGTGAGTTTGCAGCAAGCACTCATGATTATCACCTGCTTTGCACTGGCCTACCTTTAAAGGAGCTAAACTCCTTCAGGCAATGGCTACTCAGTCCTGCTTAAAATGCCCCATTGAAAACATTAATATCACTGATTAATAATTATTATAATGATAAAATGCAGAATAATGAATCAAAAACTAAGATCTTGCAGAAGAGCTCAGACTTCAAAGAATCTGCATGGAAAAATAAAAGAACATTAAAATGAATGATTTTATAGCAACAATAATAATATAATCTATTTGCTTTCTTTAAACACAGCTCTAGAAAATGGCTACTGCACTTGCAGAAACGTATCATTCACTAAACATACCAACTGATCCTACGATAGTTGCAACTAATCTTTGGCTCTCGTCCCCCCCTCCCCCTCCTCCCCATTCAGATCCCACGGCACCGTACCTCTCTCACCAACTCTCTCCCATCTCACCCTACCAGGTAATAATAATAATAATAATAATAATAGTAATAATGGGGATAATACTATTCTAATTATTAATGGTTAATAAAGACATGATTGTGGTACTAGTAGGTATTTACAGTTACTATCAATTTGAGGTAGCTAAGGCTCTAACTGTCAATGCCACAGTATTTAAAACTAGCAAAAGCGCAACACGACTCCAAAAAAGGAGCAAACTAGAGAGAGGAGACTTTGACTATAATCTTCTCTCTTTTCTTTCCATTAGACTGGATCAACTGATAATTTGACAGTGGACATAATGAACAGTGCTTCTCCACATCATCATGGCTACAGCGATACCAGTGGAGATGGTAAGTACATGGTACATGCATACACTGATAACTGACACTGATATCTACACTCTCTGTATACACATGTACATGAATGTATAGGGGACCTGTATAATGTAGATCTGTGATAGGCCATAGTTATAATAATTTGGGAGCTTTATGATTTTGGCATTAAAGAGAGCATAAACAATCAGAAGATGTGTATTGATAAACTGTACTAACCATTTGTTTATTCTAAATAAATGCAACATTACCCAGAGAGCCAGCAAAATACTACAAGTACAAATCTTATGCTAGCCCATGTAGATGTGTACATACTGATAATACATAGTCCATATTGCATTGAAAACAGTTAGTGCAGAGAATGAATAATAATAGAAGGTTCAGTGGGCAGCACAAGTGTGGTCAATGGGTTTAAATAAACTAGTAGCAATTTCTTGGAAAGGAACACTTTGAGCCATTGCACTTAACTTTATTGTGTGTGAGCTTCAGACAGTCTCAAAAGGAGAGGAGAGTGGGTGTATGGGAAGTAATGATATTCATAGCTTGATTCTAGGAATAGCCGCAGAATGCCTTGACAGGCTTCTAATGCTCTTCCAAGAATCAGTTAAACGGATTCATAGTCTGTAGTCATAAACTGTTCTTGGAATAATGATCTCATACACAACTATAATCATGTGTGGAATGCTTGCAATGTGCACTACTATATACACTCATACTCTCTCTCTCTTATTAGGTGCAGTGCATGGTATGCAGCTGTATAGGAGCAATGGGCACAGTACAGATTATACTACTCCTACAGGTGTGTGTTGATCTAACATAATAATAATACCATACACCCTGTTATTGTATAGCATGACACAACACTTTGTTTATTGTCATATTTACTTTACTTACCTGTATCAATTCCAAGAAATGATTTAAACAACTTCCTGAGTTGTCACTACTCGTGTACACAGAGAGAGAGAGAGTGAATGATTGATTGAATTGATGTAAGGTTACTAGAGGTCACATCCTTATCACACCCTTGTATGAGAGGGTTAGCTCAAAGTAACAATCAGAAATCAGAGGACAACATCACACTCCCCAAAGGTTGCAGCTGCAAGTGTATAGTTTAAATCCACCATTGCAAATACAAAATAGTGTCTTCATTTAAAATCCAATTCCTTGTATAAACTACATCACTCAGTGATAGCTTATTCCAACAATATGCAGCACACGGTTAAGAATCCACCAGTGAAAAATAGGGTCTTCATTTACAATCCAATTAGACTCATTCCTTGTACATGCAGCCACTAACAGTTAATTCAATAGTCTGATTATGCTCCATTGGATTCTCATACCATTAAAGCCTGTTGTTATGTTTCTCCTTTTATTTAATAGGCTCACTTGGTTGTACAGACATAATGACAACACAGCAGTACACAGGAGAGAGATCCCCTGACTCTGGAAGTGAGTTTCAGCCCAGACAATCTGTAATTATAAGTAAAGGTGCATTTTAGATTAATAAATAAATAAATAAATGTTTTTAAAAATAATCATACACTCACACACTACAGAAAGCTTTCCCTTAATATGTAATGTCAATAAATATAAGTTTATATATTTATTTATTTATTTTCCTTTCTCTCTCTCTTATAGTATACAGTCCTACGTGTCACAGCCCATCAAGAAATGACTATGATCCTCTACCGCTGGTACCAACCTGTACAGGACTGGTTTCATCATGCAGCGACTACCTGGGCAACGAGATGCTTCAGTACTCAAACGCTGCCACAATCCACCCACCCCACCCAGCTATGTCCTACAGTCCATCGCACTACACAACCACTAGCATGAACTGTGACATTCCCTGTCAACCAATGTACTCACCGCGGCCCCATCCTTACGTTGACTCCGGTAGTCCCATTGGACAGGCTCCACAGTTACCAATGGGAATGATGGACCAGACTACAGCTACTTGTACCTCCATGAACGCTAGCAATCCAATCCAGTTCTATCCAGAGACTCCATCAGATTTCTATATCGACACAAACGGACCTTCTCCTCCCTGCTTTCCTCCCCCTCCTCCTCCTTTCACTACCGAGGACTTCATCAGACCTCACCATCCACCAAAACGTAAGGCAGCAAAGGAGAAAGGAGACTGAGAGATGCTAAAAGCATATTCTAATGAAAAATCATCATCATTATTCTTTCTTTTCTTTAGCCAATAAACGTCCAAGGAAGCCCAAGCCACCAGCAACAGTTGATCCAAGTGAGATTAAGGACATACCAGCCTCAGCTCAGCTCTGGGAGTTCCTCCTGAAGGTCCTGAAGAAACCCAAATATGCCTACATGGTCAGCTGGGAGAACCAACAAGATGGGCTCTTTCGCTTCCACGACCCACCTGCATTTGCTGCCCTCTGGGGCCGACACAGAAACCGACCATCCATGACATATGATAAAGTAGCTCGTGCCCTCCGCTATTATTACAGAAGAGACATATTGGAGCAAGTAGGAGGAAGACTAACATACAAGTTCAGCCCCAGATTGTGCAAGCAGTTCTCAGTCTGCAGCAGCAGTAGCGATAAAACATCAGCCATTTCTTCATCAAGTAAAACGGCTAAAAAATAACTAACTTCTACACAACACATTCTAACACCTCTCTCTCTTTCGTTCCTCAAGCTCCTCCTCCTACTCCTCCCACTTCTCTCCTTGCTTCTTTCTAATAATGTATGTACCGGTTTTTATTACTACACAGAACTTATAATTAATTATTAATTATTATTATTATTATTATTAAACATACCCTCAGTGTCCTACATGCTTTTTCTTTGGTACAATTATATTAAAGTTGCAAACTATAAGAAAATGAACATACCTAATTTTGAAATCCTTCTTGAAGAACCTTTCGTAGAACCCTCTGGTACCCAGTATCAAGGAGACTTTGACCTCTGAGCCTGGAGAATTAGTCAAAATAACGTTATGATTATGACAAACAGAGGGACACTCTTCCTGAGCAGAAATGAACACAGTTATGCTCTACTCCCCTTGGCTGTGTGTTTATATTAGACTGGCCGCCATATCTTCCAAGAATCTTATGCCATCATTTCGCGAGAAGGACCATTTCGGAAGAATTGGGCCATGAATCTCATTAACAAGTTCTGGGAACAACACGTGAGCTGGTGAATCTGATTGGCCCATAGCCCATGAATACACTTAAAGATTTCTAAAATCGTACACGTGAGACGAGACATCTGATTGGTCCATTGTGCAATCATTTCAAAATTTACTGCTAATTTTTATAGGGAGGAGTACTGCATTGAATATGGCGGAACAGAAAACCCCTGAAAGCACTAAAGTACAGAGCAAGACTGGGACAGAACACATCGTACCAACTGATGGACCTACCCCAAAGCCACTAGCAAAACAACAGTTCGTTACTGAATAGAAATGAACCTGTTTCTACCCTCCCCCTCTCTTTTCCTGCACAGACAAATGTTCATGAGTCCTACAGACGCCATTACATCTCCTTGCACGCAGAAACTCATTAATATTCACAGACTGCCAAGACGTAATGCAAGGTAAGTAGTGCTAAGCCTCTCAATTTAAATACGGTCTCTATAAATTGGGGGTGTGGCTATACTTTAGTGAGTTTCTTTAATGTACTCAGGCCTATGCCAGGTAGCAGTCTTGCAGGTCCTCCTATTAGTCGACCGATATCCAAACTAGCTAACAAGGAGCCTCAGGCAGACCCTGACGTGGACAAGGAGAATGAGACTAATGAAGCAATTGATCATTAACACCATTATTATTATTATTATTATTATTATTTAGCTGTCACATCTTGATCATTATAATAAAATAAATAATGATTATTTCTTTATACACAATAACACTGTTCCTTCTCTCTCTCTCTTTGTGATTTTCATCAAAAATAAATCATCACAATAGCTGTGTGTTCATAATGTCATTGATTCTTTCATGTTATTAATTTCTTCGCAATAAGCGTTAACAAGTTCCTCGACACTTGGTTCATATCCCAACATACTCCTCACCATATCAAGTGGGTGGAGTCCACCGCCATGCTTTAACATGGCTTCCTCGTATCTCCTCCCACTGGTTCGAGAGAGAGGGTTACTAGAGAAACATTTCTTCCAAATGAGATTAGCTACTGAGCGTGACCAGAGATAAGAATAGTACTCACCAGCGTAGCTATAAAGATGAGTGAACCGGAGGTACCATGAAGTGCCACTGGTATGAGGTATAACTGAATATCTGTCATGAAGGCCCGAGAATATTTCATTCGTCGAACTGCCCAGTGGGTGGGGCCCATGAAAAACCTGATCCATAACAGAGTAAAGTATTTGCTCTTGCGTCTTGAAAGCTGGAAACAGATTTGATGAGAAGTTAAGAGACGGTGCCGTATTGGTAAAAGAACTAATGACACAATCATCTTTTAAAAACAGCTCCATTAGATTAGAAGGTATTTCAGCAAAATCAGTGGTGCATCTTGTGCCAGACGTATTCTGATAAGGCGAACGCCCTAATATGGAGTGAAGGGCGTGACCCATCTCATGAAACAAATTCTCAAGTGCATGTTGAGTCAGTAGAGGAGGATTGGAGTGAAACGAGAGGGAGAGAGTACTGATGGGTATTTGATAAGACCCATCCCTTCTCTCTCTGCCTCCCTGTATGGTGAACTGACAATCAGAAGCAAGTTTGTCACTTCTATTCAACCAATCACAATATAAAATGCCTAATACTTCTCCTTCACGTTTGAAGGTGAATTTCTGTACAGAATCATCCCAAACTTCGCCCGGATTAATATCAGTTAATTCAATATCGACATCAAATAATGACTTGGTTAAAAAACGGAGGCCCTTCAAACAAGCTGAGAGTGGAAAATGCTCACCAGAGTTCTTAAATAGGTTCTTCTTTGCTCGGTCAAGAGCTAGAGGAAAATCCCAAGGTTCTAGTCTATCTTTTGTGGTTCCAATCACACTAGCCATTTCATACAGTTCCTGCTCTGCTAGCGGTTGAATCTTGTCATTAAGAGCATTCAGAAACTCCATCACTACCTCGGGAGATCCTGCCATAGTGTCTGCTAGCGTGCGATGAGCAAATGTGTCGTATCCAACCAGCCTAGCTAGAGAGTGCCTTGATCTTAAGAGTGCATCCAATACTTCCTTATTTGGATGAGAAGATGAGTAATATTCTTTATAACAGTCACGACGTAGCTCAGGGTCTCCTGATAAATAAGGAACAGAGTCTATGTAGAGGTTTTGACTGCTGTCATGGTCGCTAAAGAGGTGTCTGTGTCTGATGATTGAGGGTGGAGCAGATTTCGTGTTAATTAGTGAGGGGGTGGGACACTGCTCCGTGAAGGCGTGGCTAAGATAAAGTATGTCCTTGTGAAGTTTAAGAGCTTTCTCTCTCTTATCTTTGCTTAAATGGATTCCACTGATTTCGAAATCGTGGAGTAGGCTGAAGGCATGTCTATACGATACAGGATCAAGGGACTCCATATTGATGTCTTTTATAGCATCGTAAAGTTCCCTGCTGGTGTTAAGCTGTTCGACATAGCCTCCAAGGGCAGCAGAACAAGATTGAGCAGCAGTGACATAGCTAGGGTCAGGATGAAGGAGTCTTATGCACTCAGAGAGGTCGGCGGATTGACATATGGCGTTTGAGAGCTCGTCAAAAAGAAGGAGAGTCTCTTTATCTGTGGTTTGGTTTGTTGGAGAGACGGTCAGTATCTGACGAACTATATCGTTACAAGACTCAAGTGTGGAGTCAATTAAGGAATGGAATCCATCGGGAGAGGTCAAGAGAGGATGATTGAGCAGCCCTCCGCCTCCTCTAGTCGTACCAGGCAGGCTTGAATAACTCCTGAACAGAACTCGGGCAAGAACAAACGCCATGTTTATTCACGTGGTGGGTGTGGTTTAAAATTAGCTTAGCAATTAGGTGTGGCTTGTTGCTAGGACAACAGAAAAATAATGGTGGGTGCATGCATGTACATGTTTTAATGTTTCTTTCTTTTCTTTCAGCCTCCGAAGAAATTATCTAAAGCAGAAAAGGATCGACTGAAGCATGAGGCAGAGAAAAGAGCACAAGAAGAAGGTTAGACTTTTGATCAGCAATTTTCTATTTTTTATTAATTTATTTTTAATTAACAGAGGAACAACGAATAAGAGAAGAGGAGGAGCTGAGGAAGAAAGAGGAGGAGGAAAGGAAAAGGAAAGAGGAAGAGGAGCAGAAGCTGAGGGAGGAAGAGCAAGCAAGGTTTGTGGAAGAGAGAGCAAAGTATGACGAACTTAAAACCGACCATCAAACAAAAATCAAAGAATGGAAAAAGACAGAGAAAGAAAGCAAGGAGGTTCATGAAATAGCAACGAATGGAACATTAGTAATATTTTATTATTTTACAGTGGGAGCATTATGTATCTTGCAATAAACTTCCGCTGCCTTCCAGTCAGCAATCACTCAACACGTACTTCAGCACATTCAGTGAGAGACGACCTCCAGCGACAATGTCTGATACTTTGAAGAGACTCAGAGAATTATTTCAAGTAATGCATAGATGTACATGTACAGGGCATATAACTTAGGATTTGAAGCCATTTTTCAATGATTATATGCATTATGCTTTCTCTCTGCTACAGGTTTTAGAAGAATTAGAAAAGGAAGTACAAGATGAAGATAATTCCGATGATGCTATACACCATTACATTGATAAGGTAAGTTATGTATTGTTGATATTATGATAATTATTGTATTATTAATACACTGTACTGTAGGTCCAGTCACTGATACTCACTGAAGTAGATAAAGGCACTCTGTTAGTTATGAAGCACCCACAGGACCACATCGACAATGAAACATTCAATCTACTCATTGAAGAACACATACCATCCCATATGACATATTGTCTCTGGGGCAACATTGTTAAAAACCCAAGGTATTACTTAATAACCTATTAATAACTACTTAATAACTATTAATAACCACTTAATGACTTAGATCTATTGTATTTTATTGCAGATTAAAGGAGTTTTCATTCAATTATTGCTCGTTTACAATTGATCTGCCTAAATCAATGACAATGCTAGATGTGTCTGTGCGATTATTAACCCTTTCTTACGACACTCTCTCTCCTCTTTCCAAAACTTATAAAATAAACGAGGAACCAACTACTGGAGGAGATATTACTAGTGAAGACACACCCCCTGAAACTGAGGAGATAAACGTTGCTGCTGCTGCAGAAAATGGCGGCGAAAAGAAAGAGGAGACAGAGGCTGTGGAGGCGACAGTAAGCTACAGTAGCTAGTAGCACTGGATGATGAATGTACTGTGCATAGGGTAATGGAGTACAGGAGAGTAATGGAGCTACTCAAGATAGCAACGAAACACAAGAACAAACAACTGAAGTAAACTAACAACACCTTATCCTTTGTATCAATTGATGTTCATGTACATTTGAATAGAATAATGAAGCTACTGCTGCATCTGATAATGTAGAGACCAATGGAGACAAGAACTCACCTCCTGATGAAAACAGTACAAATAATGAAATACAATTAATGTACTTTTATCCTCTTCCTATGTACATGCAGTACCTGATGGAGAGGAGATAGACCTAAGAGGCTACAGTATTGTGGGCTGTACTCCACTCCTGCTTCAATTGATAGTCCTACCTCCTCAACCTAAATCAGTCAATAACTGGATCATTACACAAAATACAATGGACTCACTTATAGAGTCACCTCCTCTTACTGAACCATCAGGAGCACCTTCAGTTATATCAGCAAGAATGAAGTACATTAATTATACGCATACATGTACATCAATGTGTATCAGAAAATGTACAGTTACAGTTACATGTACACATGTAGCACAAAACATGACATGTTTGCTCCTAATAGCCTACCAGAGCCTTATCATTATCCTGAGGATGAAGCATCCTTTCAACTAGCACAATGGGATAGGAACAGCAACTCATGGAAGCATGGGAACCTTAAAGAAGTGAAATTTGATTTAAGTAATAACATCATTTGAGTATTCATTGATGAACCCTCTTATCTTTCTCCTATAGCTGGTAAAAGGGTTTCTTTTGTAATGACAACATTTTCACCACTTGCAATTTTAATAGTCAGTCATATTAAACATTATTATTATTATTATTATTATTATTAGGATGCTTATAATAATCTTCCTTATCAATCGTGGGAGCTCCTCCCACTTGATATTGACCACACCCTCTTACATATCGTTGGTAGCTCAGTAGAAATGTCAATTGAAATAAAAGTATGTTTAAATAATTAATTATAATTAATTAGTACACACCTTTAGGGAGCAGAAAGTGCATTAATAAAACCATTAGAAGTACCGGCAGTCGAAGAACTAATTAATAAAAGATTTTCGTCTCCTAAACAACTGATAAAGGTACTAAAAATTAATTATTATTTAATATAATACATTTACATGTACATGTGTAAATTTTAGGCACTCAAACGAATTGGATTTCATTTCTTTCCTGAAAATGACGCCCACAAGTACACCTCACTGACGGAGAAGGTAAATGGGTGTGGTCAGTATATTTAACAGCCACAACCACAGGATAAAGAATTAGAACTCTCCACGTACGAGTACATGTCCATGGCCTGTGGTGGGTGGGGCTTCCAATGGAGCCAATGGAATGAGAAAGGAGGGAGAGTTGGCTCTATAGTACAGGCAGCACCAATTGATGGAAACCAACAAAAAATACTCAAAAATGAAGCTAGTTCTGAACAAGTAAATAATTTATCAAATTAAAACCACCAATCATCAAAACAGCAGCTATAGGACTCTTTCATTACAGGTTGATACATGGAGACTCTATTTGTCTACAATGGAGAAAGCAATGACACTCCAATCAAAGGAGAATGGAGATGACTTCAGTGAAGAACTACCTGATGGAAAGATAGTAAGAGCCCAAACATGTACCAAATGAATTTAAAATAATATTAAATGTCCACCTTTTCCTGCAGACACATTCAGATTTATACACAGCATTAACTAGTGAAGCAAGCAATGAGATACTGGAACTGATGGCCAGGACTAACCACGTCCATATACACACTGTAAAACAATGGCTGACAGCAACAAGACCACTAGTAGCAACTTGCTAACCAAACACACACTCAAGTTGAATACACTGTACATGCTACTCCACAGACTGTAGATCTAGTATGAGATTTACAGTCTGTGAAGCTTTCAATTGCAACATTATGTATGCCATTAATTAAATTGGAGATATTATTATATTTCTTTAATGACAAGATGACATTCAATAAAAAATCTCAAAAGTCACCTCTTGGACCATCGCTTTGACCACGCCCAAAACCTTGACGCTAAAAATTAATGAAAAATCCAATTAAAAGTAGAATAAAAAATGCACCCAATTAATAATAGGACCAATGAATATTAATGTAATTGGAGTAATTGTAATACAAATCATCAAACATTAGGAAAGAGGTTCTCATTAACCACACCCACTCCAATAATTAATATACTTCCCATTGACAACTGCATTGATCAAGGAAGCCACATCACCACGCTCTTAGTGACCACTCCCACTAAGGGGCAGGGTCAATGAGAGATTAATGTAGTGTGCAGCTTCTATCAAGAAGTGCTTTTATAGGGAAGACGGCGGGGCTACTTTGATACTTGTACAGCTACAAACTACATACAAACCAATGTATTGAGATAACATAATACTTTCTACACATGCACTATTAAAAAACCATTACATTCTGCACTAAACATAGTAATTGTAACATGTTTAACAAATGGAGCAGTAAAAGGCTATTATTAATAAATCGGCTTACAAATTGAGGTTCAAAATGAGCACCTGGTCCAGCGTCAGTCTTCTTCTCATCGCCAACTGTACATACACAAGAAGAGTCCATTGTTATTATAATCATTAAATGTCGTCCATAACTTACAGCTTCTGTAAGCATCTCTGTCATCTCTCTCGTCTCTCATTGATCTGTCAGCTTGTTCTATTATTAATCAAATTGATATTATCATATATACAGCTGCATTTCGTACCTCTTGGGCGTGGCTTAGCCGTTTCAGTTCTGACGGGTCTCTTAAGAGTAGCTGGAACAATCTCTTGCGGCAAGTGAAGATATTCCCTCAGATATTGTATACCTAGCCATTAATTAATAAATGATTAATGAATAATTAATTAATCACCTTCGTTTGTCAGGTACCAGTAGTACCAACCCCACGAGAACTGTTCCTTTACATATCCACGAGACTTCAAAGACTACAAAACGAGAAACGCTAACGTAACTCTGTGCTCAAAATGGCTGCTAAAAATGTCTTCATAAAAACTAATGACCAACCCAGTCTACAGTGACAATAGATCTTAAAACTAATAACATGCAACACGATCTTCCCCAATTATACATTGTTAACTACCTGAAGAGCTTTTACAACTTGAAGGTTTGGGATATCTTTTATTTCTTGATGCTCTGCTCTGTTAAAGTCCTTCTTGGCCACCAGGACTCCTTCCTTGAACAAATACTCGTATATTGTCTTACGGTTCTTCTTGGGAATAAGCATCTAAAGTGAAGAGTGGAAGGATTGATAAAGATAATAATGGCTACCTTATCTTCCTCTTCTCTTTGAGGTTCCACGAGGTCTCAAGAAAGAGAAATTGTGGAGCATGCGCATTAATCAAAACCGCCTAGTTCCTAATGAGTAGAGTTTGGCGCGCCTTTCCTGGTTCAATACTAGCCGCGCCTTCTTAATGAATTACTAATGAGCCACACCTTTTATTGGCTCCAGATTCTACAAACATAACAAAAACAGACAAAGCCACCTATTCCCTCTTCTTCTCTTTCACTCTCAGTTTTCTTCTGTCAGGTAAGCTATTCAAAACTTTCTTTGCATGTGTTTTAACATGAAAAATATCTCATTTTAGCAGCGAAAAGAAGAGTAGACTCGCACTTGTAAGGAATTAGCTAGTATAAAAAAGCACCGCAGGATGGACGGGAGAAGCAGGAGCACCGAGGATGAGCTGGACACTCTCAGTGCCTCCTCCACCAGTTTCTGGGAATTGGGTAGCTACAAGAAAGTGGTAAAGTTAGTTGATGATGGAGCTAAACTCACATCTGAGCTGATCAAGATGGCACAGGAGCGAGCTGAGCTTGAAGCCAAGTACAGCAAGAGTCTTCAGCAGTGGTCGAAGAAGTGGGAGGAGTTTGTGAACAAAGGCCCGGAGTATGGGACGCTGCAAAACGGCTGGAGAAGTTCACTACAAGAAGCATCTCGACAATCTGATATTCACGCTGAGATATCAAACGAAATCAAAGAGATCATCAAGTCGATCAATAAATGGCAGGCATTTCATTATCACAAGTCGCTCGGTGGTCGTTGGAAGGAGAGCAAGACGGCTGAAGAGGGTTTCAATAGTGCTCAAAAACCCTGGGCTAAGGTCCTCACTCGCTGCAACAAAGCAAAGAAAACCTATCATCAAGTCTCAAGTGATTTAGAGACAATAAAAAACACACTTGACGATGCTCATGTGAACCCAATTGAAATGGAGACACTTGTTAAGCTAAGGGAGAAGAAAGATAAGATAGAAAAGGAAAAGGAGAAAGCACAAGAGAAGTATCAGTCATGTCTCACTGAGGTTTTTCACGATAAGGATCGCTATGTACGTGACATGAAGGCAGAGTACGAGAAATGTCTCGTTATAGAAAAGATAAGGATGGAGTTTTTCAAAGAATCGCTTATAAAGCTTAAAGAGTCTGTTGACTTAAGCAAAGATGAAAGGTAAGATGAAATTTTTGGGATATTGTTATTATTTTTATATAAACTGTAACCAATTGTTGTTAATTTAAGCAACTCAAGCGTGATATTGTTGTGAATGCAAATGATTGCCAGTTTATGAAACCCATCCACTATTACTAATATACACAAAACCTAAATTACATATATTTATTCAACACCATATCAAAGCATCAATATCCTACACATACCTAATAAATAACAGCAGTGCCCACTTGCTCCTTGTGTAGTGTATACTTAAGCAAAAATGGAGTTAGTTTACTTATTCTATTATCCAGTGTTTTGTTTGTTAGCATATTCCAATATAAACAGCAATTTGTGAACGTGTTGTAAATGAATGATAACAAAAACTCTCTTTCACTACAACTGTCTGGTACACAACATGCCAGAGACATCCTTTATACAATACTAACATCGACTGTTAAGTAGTTACTTGCAGCAATTCAATTATCATACTTATTTTTTGTAGGATTTTGAGGATATCACAAGTCTGTGACAATACACTCCAGCAGATCAGCTCAGTTGAAGACATAAACTGGTACTCGCAGCAATTTGGGCCGGACATGAATCACAGCTGGCCAGTTTATGAGGTACAGTGAAGACATTAAATGTCTGAATTATTTTTATTTTATTTAATTAGGAGTACGAGGAATCACGCGTAGAATCACACAAGTATGTGCTAATTTTTAAATTATTATTTTATAAATAATGTTTTCATGTAGGGTTCCACCTTTAAGTTCAGGCAGTCGTTCCTCCAGCTGCTCATTAAACAGTCCTCAGAGACTCTCAGACGCTAACGATCACTTTGATAGATCTGAGTCCCCATCTCGTGTAGGGCACCCTAAAGTACCTTTACCGGAAATTCCCGTAGACTCATTCTCAAACACTGATACTCAAGATTTGGAATCAAACTTTGAGAATGTGATTGATGATCATATATATGAGAGTACCGACAATTGGCCAAATCCTGCAGCCGCCACTCAAAGCAACGAAGATGAAGTTCAGGAAGAAGGAAACGAACAAAAGAGAGTTTTACCAAAAGAAGGAATAGTAATGAGGGCCTTGTTTAGCTACACAGGACAAGATGAAGATGACTTGAGCTTTGAGGAAGGGGATATAATTCTGTTCCTGGAATATTGCGACGGAGGGTGGGTGAAAGCTCTGCTCGATGAAGAATATGGATATGTACCCGAAGCTTATTTTGAACCAGTTATATAGCTCACTTACTAGTGACTCACTAACCAACACAGCATTATAACATTAATTATGATTTTACTTAGCTTTCTATGTTATTTATCACTACCCATGTGGTTGCACGTGGTTATAGTATACGGAGTTAAGAATATACTGAGCAAGCAGCTCTTCTTGTGACCCCACCCAAGATGGCATCGAGTTGTGAAGTGGAGTTTTCCTTTGATTACAAATCTCGAGGCGAATCTAAGCAGCTGAAAGCCAGCTTGCCTATTCCTTATGAAGGGAATATACGAGAAACTGCAGCTAGACTGATGACCATCAACGAGATACCCTCCCATCTTTTTGAAGAAGAACTCGTTTCAGCTCTGGGGGCTTTTATCAGTGAAGAGACGAGAAAATGGAGAGATAGGATAGGAGATGACGCCATTTTGAAAGCTTTTGAAGGAGGCGTAAGTCTAATTTTACATTATACATTCACGCTAGCATTATTTCCATTTAATGCCAATGCTATTGGTTGACCACGCCCATTTTTACAGACTATAGACAAACAAGTGAACGAATGGGTTTCTAGATATACTCATAACCACGCCCACTTTACAACCCTCAAGAAGGTACCGGACGACCCATTCCCTTCCATATACCTCCAGCTAGTCCATTCTCCCGCCTTGACGACACTACTCCAATTAGAGCACACCTACAGCCTATCAATGAATGACATTAGCAGTGCCGCGAGAAACGCCGTCACTAATATGCACAAAAAGTAACTTTTAGTAGCATAAATAATAATTAATAAAATATTGTCATTTATTGTAGACATGACAAAGAGTTAGAAAACATGTTACAAAAGACAGATACTGATGTCAATAAATTAATGAGACAACACGTGTTTGAGAAGAAGGTAATTGAATTAATGAATGAATTATTTATTTTATTTTTAATGACAGGAGTTGGAGGATAAATGGATGCTTGAAATTAATGAGCAACAAAACGTACAGAAGAGAGAATACCGAGACTGGTTGAGCCGCCTCCATGAAGAACTCTACGAAGAAACAACTACAACTGGAGGAGGAGGAGGGGGAAAGAAACAAAAAAGTAAACAAGACCGACCTTTATTATTAATTTATTATCATTATTTATTATTAATTTATTATTAATTTGTTGTTATTTTTGTTTTTAGGTAGGAAGAAATCTGCATTGGCTGAGCTACAGTGAGTGATTACATTGTAAGGGGTCTGGTATTATTGATTGTGTTTCAGGTCCAACCAGCAGCCGATGATGATAGAAGATGTACAACTACCAAATGAGAGGATGGAGGAAAGTTTCACGATCTACTTGGGTAAAATAATAATTAATTATAATTCTATTCTCCACCATATACCCTTTTCTCCCTCCCTCTCTCTCTCTTTCTCCTCTTTAGGTGCACAGCAGAAAAGCTCCCACAGCCTAAGACTAATATGCAGCAACATTATATCATATTGTACTGATTCCAGAGACCCAGCTGCTGCTAGTGCCGACATTGCAGGTAGTATGAGACTCAACCCACGAAGAATAGAGACAGCAGTATCACTGTACAGTACTGAACTGACGGCATTGATACTGAACACTGACCGAGAGATCAATACCATATCTGGACTGAAAGAAGGTATGACCAACAGCTGGTAATTTTGAACAGGAGGGGGAATTTTTGGTGAATTTTAGAATTTGCAGCAATATCCCATTGAATATGTGAAAAACCTTGTATATGATATTATTATTATTAATCATACTGAAGAGAGAGGGGGAGAGATTAAGGTAGTTTTGTTACATTATATTTTCTTTCTCAGTTTTTGCTGATTGTTGTCGTCTCTCGACCGACTTTCATTTTCCGTCGATTGATGAGCAGCTGCTGACAGTCCAAGGATTTGCAACTGAAATAAAAGAAACACGAGAGACAATGAAAGGAGAGAAAGTGGGCGGAGACTCTACTGACACCACCTCCCCTAATAAGATTAATTTTGAATCTAGTCTTAGTAACATGAGCCTTTCGCCAGACAGGTATTAAATTGTTATTGTTTATTATTGTTTATATTTTATTTTTGTACAGGAGCTCAGCTAATTCTTCTCTTCTTGGCAGTCTCAGTAATCCAGGATTGTCTCCTAAATCCGTTTCATCACTTGAGACGGACGAGGGCGTGACACTTGAGCCAGGTAAACCACGCCCACATGTTATTACATTAATGACCACACCCACTTGATTCCAGGTGATTTCTATATAACTCGTCACTCCAATCTATCACAAGTCCATGTTATATGTCACCTGGTCTCAGACGATAAAGCGATACTGAATCCATCTCTGAACACAAGACATCCCATAATGTTGGGACTACGGAACATCCTCCGTACTCTAGCGAGAAACAGAATACATAAAGTTATAATTCCGTTATTACTGACAGATCAGATGAAACCAGTTAGTGACTGGACTGACTTGTACACGTACATAAACTTTAAAAAGATTGTAGAATTTTCTAATTAAAAAAAAATTTGGCCTAAATTTCTGTACAGCATGATTACTTGTGTGTGTTTAGGATATGACGATTAACTGGTGTCTGAAGAGAGCTGAACTGGTTTTTAAATCCGTCAAAGGTTTGTAGTGAAGACCAAAGGAAATAACTGATTATTATTATTTATTAAATATTTTAGGGTTTCTGCTTGAGAGTACCACATGGCAGTCCGATCAAACCTGGACAGTCCAGTTCCTGTTACCAGAAGTAAGAGAAGAGAAAGGGAGATAATGGAAGAGAGGGTATTATTTTAAGTGGGTGTTTTTCAAGTATTTTAAAAGTATAATAATATGCTGTATTTTTTATCCTGCAGGGTATATCTGATGATGGTTTTGAACAGATCAGTGATTTATTGTCTAAGACTTATCGTACCTCAATCTCAAGGTCTCTGAGTGGAAACACTTCCGGAGTTAGAATAGTTAATTAAAAACACATGCAGGAAAAGCAATTGTGTTTTATTATTTATTTTATCACTTATTATTAATTAATTATGCTGATTTTATTTGTACATTATTAATATTGAATTTAAGTGAAAGTTCATCTGTCATGTGATCCAGCCAATGTTCCGAGGGGGCCAGACTCTTAATATTACCCGACCCTGCACCAGACCCAGTGGGACGGGTCCAAAAATACGTGAATCGTGTGAAAACTCTTTATTGTCACCTTCCACCCACACATGGCAACGAGGAACCTAATGGGTGTGGTCATAAGCTAATTATTTTAAAAATTAAAATTATACCGAAGGCGAGGTTTTGGGTGTGTCCTCCCCAGCGACAAAAATGATTCTTTTACAAATTAGTTTCTCGGGCTCATCAGGGCATGTGAGGACAATGATGTCATTTCTATGGCAACAATTAATGAATAATAATTAATGAGGCACACCCACTTTTTGTAATTCCGTCTTCTACTTGACCAGAATTTTTCGACCAATACATGATCATTAACTGCTGGATCAGCATTAATGGTCGGATACATTGAATCCCCTTCACACTATGCACAGAAAAATTAATGATTTTTATAATAGTATTTTAAATGTTTTTTTCACTTTAATGAGGCAGAAAAAGTACTCAGAGCTCACATGATACAGGCAACCTCCGTACAGAAAACCAGCCAAACATTTTCCTACAGTCTTTAACATTCAAAAAATACAACAGTGATTTAAATAGTACATAAATAAAATAAAATAAAAATTATTTTTTATTAATTTAATTATTACATTTGTAGGTGTGGTCATAATACAAGCCCGCCCTACTAAATAAAATGGCTGACGAGGGCTCCAGTGGAACCGGATTCAAACGAGAGGTTTTCTCTTCATACACGAAGACAGAACTAATAGATCACATACAGCAGCAGTCAGAAGCACTAGAGAGATACGAGGCTAGGTTTAGAGGTATAATAACGCTCCTTTTATCATATACTCCTCCTCTTAATAGACGTGGTGAGGGCATACAAAGGAATATTGAAAGAAAAAGAAGCTTTAGAGACAACTCTACAAGCACTCAGTGCCTCTCGTCTCACCCCAACAAAGGACAGACTCCGTGAAACCTCTAGACTGACACCAACACACGAGAGGTCACATGATCCGTCAGACAGGTCACGTGACGTCACTGAGAGCGAAGGTGAGAAAAGTGAGACGGAAAGTGGAGCTCAAGAATCAGCAGCATTGGAAGAAAATGATTCTGAATCACGTTAGTGAATTATTAGTTTTAATCCCGAGTGTTAAAATTGATCTTTAGAAGTAGAGGGTGTGGCCGATCAGGTGACTAAACTCATGCAGTCACTTAGTGTTCTCACTGAAGAGAAATCAAAAATGGAGTCGTCTTTCCAACAAGACAAGAAACGATTATTGGTGAGATACCTTTATATGCATCACTTTTAAATCTCTTCCTCTAGTCTGAATTAGAATCAATGGCCGCTCAACATTCGAGTGAGAAGGATCAGCTACTGGATAAAATGGAGACATTACAGCAAAGACTGGAAGAGAGTGTATCGAGACAGACCGAGGGAGAGAGAGAGAGGAAGAGGGAGGAGACGGAACACGGGGAAATGGTGAGAGAGTTGCAGCTGTATCTAAACAAAGAGAGAGAAAGATCTGATAAATTAGAAAATAAGGTAAATTCTTATTTATTTATTTATTTATTTATTACTCATCCATTAATTAGCTTAAGGATGCTAATATTCAAATCCAGACGTTACATAGACAGGATAGGTGAGAGACATATTCATGAATCCTTACAAGTTAGTGTACATTATGTCATCGCTAGAACAAAAGAATATCAGGAGAAGATTCAAAGTCTTTCTGAAGAACTTGAAGACGTTCGAGGACGTTTATTGGAATCAGAAAAACAAGCAGCTCAACCTCAACCACTCCTGATCCGCCTACAAGAAGACATCAAAGCAATGAAGGTTAAAGAAGCTGTCGTCTTTATTAAAATAATTTCATGTGATACTCTTTTATATTCAAATTATTCCAGGTGGAACACGAGTTGTCTTTGAGTGAGGAGCAGAAGAGAGCAAGTGATGCTGAACTGAAGTTACAGCAACAGGCAAAACTTGAGGAGGACAGAGTGGCCAGCCTTGAAGCTAAGCTGTCCGAACTGAGCGAAATTGTAGGAAAATACGACAAACA